GCACCCCGAAACTCCGGATGATCTCACCCAGCGGCTTCATGTAGATGTTAAACAACATGGGGGACAGTATAGAACCCTGTGGAACGCCACAGGCAAAGGTTGTGGTGCGGAACAGGAGTCCCCCAGTAACACCTTCTGGGTGCGACCCTCCAGAAATGACCGGAGCCACTGCAAAGCAATGCCCCCAAGACCCATTTCCGCAAGGCGCACCAGAAGGATACCGTGGTCGACGGTATCGAAGGCCGCTGAGAGGTCCAGGAGCACCAACAGGGACACACTCCCCCTGTCTAGCTCCCGGCGCAGATCATCCACTAAGGCGACCAAGACCGTCTCGGTACCATGTCCCGGTCTGAAACCAGACTGTGCCGGATCCAGAATATCCGTGTCTCTCAAGAATACCTGGAGTTGTGAGGCCACCACGCTTTCCATGACTTTGCCCAAAAAGGGGAGATTGGAAACAGGCCGAAAGTTGTCCAATTTAGTGGGGTCCAGTGATGGTTTCTTCAACAGCGGTTTTATAATGCTTGTTTTAAGCACGCTGGAATCTTGCCTTCCCTAAGGGAGGCATTAACCACCACCGTTACCCACTCAGCCAATCCCCCTCTGGCCTCCTTCAGAAGCCAGGATGGGCAGGGGTCTAGGATGACGTGGTGGGCCTCATTCCTCCAAGTATCTTGTCCACATCCTCGGGCTTCACAAACTGAAAAGAATCCATCAAAATAGGACAAGCAGGTGCTCGTGTCACATCCACGGAGACTGCATTTAACATGGTGTCCAGCTCAGAACGGATCAAAGCGACTTTGTCTGCGAAGAACCGAGCAAATGCTTCACAGCGCGTGACCGAATTGTCAGGGCTCCCGCCTGAGGTAGCGGGAGTTAAAAGACCTCTGACAATCCGAAACAACTCCGCCGGACGGTTTTTGCAGACGCAATAGTGGCCGCAAAGAAAGTTTTCTTTGCGGCTTTTATTGCCGCGGCATATGCCCTTAAAAAGGACACAAACCGTGTTCGGTTTGACTCGCTTGGATCCGAACGCCACACGCTCTCTAGTTCCCTCTTCCTTCGCTTCATCACTGCCAGCTCCTCAGTAAACCAAGGGGCTGGTTTAGCTCGGCTACTTGAGAGGGGACGTTCCGGAGCGATCATGTCAATTGCCCTGGCCATCTCCCCATTCCAGAGAGCGACCAAGGCCTCGACATGGTCACCTACCGAGGAGGCGGGAAAATCCCCAAGAGCCGTCAGGAATCCATTCGGATCCATAAGCCTCCTGGGGCGGACCATCTTAATGGGTCCTCCACCTTTGCGGAGGTTAGGGGGCGCAGTGAGCCTAAATCTGATCAGGAAGTGGTCAGTCCATGGCAACAGAGAGATAGACAACTCCTCCACACCGCCACCCTGCTCCCATCCCTGGCAGAAAACCAAGTCCAATGTGTGTCCAGCACAATGGGTGGGGCCAGATATTTGTTGGGACAGCCCCATGGTTGCCATGGCAGACATGAAGTCCTGAGCCGCTCCTGTGAGGGTCGCCTCGGCATGGATATTGAAGTCTCCCAGCACCAGAAGCCGTTGAGACTCCAATGCCAAGAGACGGGATATAAATACCAGAAATAAATAAATACGTTCGGACATATATATAAAGGAAATTAATAGGATTTATTGCAGGCAAGCCTCCATAAACAGTTTTGAACTTAACACAACTAATGCATTTTACTGGCTAACATTAAGACATTACCGATACCATTCAAAATACTGAAGTAACCAAATGGTGCAACTGTGGTATTTACAAATTTCAGTTATTGCTTTAAATGTGAGCAAACTATCATGTGCCCTAATGATTCACATTGGTGTTATGAGTTAGGTGGGCTATTGCAGCCTTTTTTCCTGTATGACAATTGCAATAGGAACACTTTTCAAAAATCCAATATGGTGCTCTTGTTCACACACTTTGCTGCAGCTTGATTCAATTTCTTTTTTTTTCTCATTATCTCAGTCTTCTTTCTCAGTCACATATGTGATCCCAGGAAAGTAGAGGGCATGTAATTAATAGCATGACATCACAACCATCTTGGCATGATAGCCTATCAAATTAGGTTTCTGTGATATATATCCGAATCAACTCTTCAACCATCGTATACTGTCACAGAAGTACTGTGCCCATTCTGCTATTTGTGTGTCCCTGTGTCTTCAAGTTGCCTATCAATTCATTGTAACCTCGTGTATTTTTCATATGGTTTTCTTATATAAGGAATATTGAGTAGTGGTTTGCTATTTCCTTTCTCTGAAATACGGTTTACAGCTGTATTTGGTATTATTTGGTAATCCCTCATTCAAGTATAAACCTAAAGGGTATAAAATCTTAGGGTATTTAAGTCATCTACAGTTTTTCTACTCTACCACTACTACAATGGTGATATTCACAAAGTAGATAGAGATGGTATAATAAATAGAACATACAAGGAAACATTTGACACAGTCATTTATGTATGCTGAAATGTTCATGTCCCTATGTGTTTTATACATATTTTATTTTTAGGGATTTTTTCCTGCTAAATACTTTTCATCTGCACTGTCTTGGAGCTTCATTAGAATGTGAAGTAATAAAAAAGCCCAAGTTTGTCTGTTAGCAGCTAAAGAGACCCAAGAGAGTATTGTGCACTTTAAAGATCTATATTCTAGCAAACTGGGCATCATCTGTTTTTCAAATCTGGATTGATTGGTTATTTATAGCTGTCAATTAATGTTGTTTGCACCAGTTGAATTGCTCCTCCTGCTCAATTGTTTGACCCCTTTTCCATTCCACCATCAAACTTTCTATCAGATGGACGTGAGAGAGAGACTTGGTTCTGATGCCCTTGATTAAGTTACCTCTCATCGCCAATTCTAAGGTTTTTACCCTTGGGACTCATACTTCATGCCCAGATTGCCCTGGACAACGTTGAGGAGACCCAAGCGCCTTCAAACCGGTCCTTTGGCATCAAAAGGAAGACTCTGTGCCTTCAACACAGGCCATTGGACTGGGGGTTGTGTTTGTTCCGACCTTCACAGCCATTGAGAAAAGAGGGAACAGCTTCTCAGCTGCGAAATCTCCTTGGACCCAAGACAACCAGAGACTGTAATGTATATTTCCTTTACCCCCTTTGAAACTTCCAGCTTATTGCCTTAAAGGGATAAAGGGATAACTCTTTGTGAACAATAAAACCTATTTTGAGTTATCTACAGTGTTTTGGTCTTTGGGAGTTCCAGTTCTCTAAAGGAAGGCAAGAAGCAATCCCCTGGGGGAAAGATGTCACGTCTATGTCTCTTTCACTAAGAGTTATAGCCCCCAGGCTCGACGGCATAAGTACAACAATATTTCAATTGCTATATACGTTTTGCAAACTAGAAAATCAGACTGTATATGCACAGAAGTTGTACCCAATACCATTCTTCCTGGAATTCTCTAATGGTGACCCTTTGAAATCTACACTCAGAATCGCCTGCAACAAATTATTGCAGTGTCTCGGAAAGGTCTCCATTTACACTGTCATACAATTAGGTTTCATGGTGGAAACTATTCAAGTACTAATTTTCCAAGACACAACTATCAAGTTTAGCTCTTTGGCTACAAATCTCCACAATCAACACTGACAAAGAAACAACAAGAAGTACTGTTTACCCACAAGCATAAAGAAATTGCATAGATTAGAAACCAACACTTTCTCATTACTTTCTTTTCAAGATCACCAAACTGGATCACAGCAACGCATGGCAGGGGATGGCTAGTGTGTGTGTGTGTGTGTGTGTGTGTGTGTATATATATATATATATACACAGCCAGTAGGAAGTCCAAAATACCTGGAGGGCCAAAATTTGTCCATGCCCATATATATATATATATATGTGTGTGTGTGTGTGTGTGTGTGTGTGTGTGAGATTGGTTTTGGGGGGGGGGCGCCAAAATACTCTTTGCTTACCATTGAAAATTACCTAGGGCCGCCTCTGCTTGCCCCCCGACTTTGTACCAACTGCAGTTTCTGGGCCATCTTCAATGGCAGCCCCATGTAGAATGCATTACAGTAATCCAACCTTGTACCTTGGGAAGTCTGACTTGGCCACAGTAGTCCACGCTCTGGTTACATCCCATATAGACTACTGCAATGCGCTCTACGTGGGGTTGCCTTCGAAAACTATTCGGAAGCTGCAAATGGTCCAACAAGCAGCAGCCAGGTTGCTAACAGGAGCGGCGCTCAGGGAGCACACAACTCCTCTGGCTGCCTGTTTGTTTCTGGGTACAATTCAAAGTGCTGGCTTTAGCCTATAAAGCCCTACACGGTTTCAGTCCAACTTGCCTATCCGAACGGATTTCTCCTTTTGAACCATCTAGGAAGTTAAGATCTTCTGGGGAGACCCTGCTCTCGCTCCCGCCTTCTTCATAGATGCATCTTGCAGGGATGAGAGACGGGGCCTTCTCAGTGGTGTCCACTTGACTGTGGAATGCCCTGCCTAGAGATACAAGATTGGCTCCCTCCGTTCTGACTTTTCAAAAAAAGGTGAAAACCTGGCTTCTTGAGCAGGCCTATCCAAATATGGCATAGTCAAATGGAATTATGGAACTACTTGATAACGCAATGGAATAATGATTTGACATAGAGACACTCGCGATAATATTTTAACGCTTTGTCGGGGTTTTATAATTTTTATATCATATGCTTTTGGTTTTAACAGAATTTCTTCATTGTTTTTACTTGTTATAATTGTTGAGGCATCGAATTGTTGCCAATTTGTGAACCGCTCCGAGTCGCCTCTGGGCTGAGAGAGGTGGTATATAAATATAGTAAATAAATAAGAAAAAGAAAGGGAAAGGTAGCAGAAAAGGAAGGAGTATGAGGGTAAGCAAGGGAAGATAGAAGGAAAAGAGAGAAAGACGGATGAAGGAAAGGGTGGAAGGAAGGAGCCAGAGAGCTTGCCTGTCCTTGACACAGCGTTGCCATAGAAACACTGTGCGGTCAACCTTCTTAGAGCCGGAGAAGGGAGAAAGCAGGCAGGCCGAGCCGCTCTGACACAGGCTCCGGCTGCCCAATCCCGCGGCGCCGAGGGCCTGGTTCGCAACCAAAGGGAGGGAGCTGCCTTGCCGAAGCGGGGCGGGGGCTGCAGCCTCTCAAGAGGCGGAGGCGCCGGCGCACGAAGCCGGCTGGAAGGAGGGAAGGTAGGGGAGAGGGGGTTGGCGTTGCTGCCGTGTCGTGCCGCCATGGCCGCCTCGCCCTGGCTGCGCTGGGGCCCATGGCTGCTGCTGCTGCTCCTTGCCGCCCCCCTGGCCTCCTTGTGGGGCAGCCCGGCGGAGGAGGGCGGAGGCGGGGCGAGGGCCGCGGAAGGAGGAGGCGGAGGACGGGACGCAGAACCCGGCGGGGCCCAGGCCGACGAGCAGCAGCACCACGACTCGTCCTACGGCACCTTCGCCAGCGAGTTTTACGATATGCGCTTCCTCTCCGAGGAGGGTGAGTGAGGGAGGGAGGGAGAGAGGGGCGGTGGGACGGACGGATATGCCACTTCAGGGGTGGGGGAGGKTAGTTGGCGGGAAGCGGGGCGCTTGCATCCTGAGGTGAAGGCGACTAAAATGCTAGAGACAGCAGGATGGGGGGGGGGGGGGGGGGGCAGACCCTGGCGCGCGCTCCAGCCCCTCTTCACGGGACGCGGGCGGCGAGAAACTGGCGAGGGAGGGAGGGAGGAAGGAAGGAAGGAGAAACGGCCCGAGCGACGCTTTCCTCGCGCCGCCCCTCCCGCCGAGCTCGTGCCCGCTGGGTGCCTAACGACAAAAACGGCTGCCATGGAAACGGACTCGGTTGCCACGTGGGCAAGCCACGACGTCAGAGAACGCGCTCTCCAGACCTTCGAAGCCGTGTGTGAAAAGCAGGCCTGGCGCCATCGTCTCTAGAGTCTAGAGCAGCCATGGGCAAACTTTGGCCTTCCAGGTGTTTTGGATTTCAAAACAAAACAAGCCACCTGTTACGAATTGTGGGAGTTGAAGTCCAAAACACCTAGAGGTTTGCCTGTTTTAGATCCCTCTTCGTAAACGGCCGTTTATTACCCTCGAATCTAATACACACCTCAGTTGGTTCAATGCTATGGAATTAAGAAAGGCTGTGGTTTTACAAGGTCTTGAGCCTTCTCTGCAAAAGAATGCTGGTGCCTGATCAAACTAAAAAGCTCAGGACTGCATAGCATTGAGCTCTGGTCAGTCCAATCCCCTGCCAAGAAGCAGGAAAATCGCATTCAAAGCACCCCTAACAGATGGCCAGCCAGCCTATGTTTAAAGGTCTCCAAAGAAGGAGCGTCCGGGTGGATCCAGACAGCCTTTTATCCCACAAGCATCCGTGTTTTTTAAAAAAAGCAGATGTTTGTGGGAAGCTGTCTACACCCACTCCAGAAAGCGTAGTCCGAGGATGATGGTCCTCCAAGTGTAGTATTTTGGCGGTGGGTCTGTAGATGACTGTGGAGCCCTATTCTTTTCTTTTCCCCAAGATGGCGCTGTGACGGGATCCACTACGGCGCAGCTCCAGGGGTGAGATTGCCTTCCCCCCCCCCCCGTAGAGCCCCCCGTCCTACCTCACCGCTGAAATCATCCCTCCGGGAAACTCTCTTCTCCGTGAAGCAGCTGGCGCAGCAGAGGCGCCGGGGAGCCGCTACAAGCGCCGCCACGCCATCGCGGCCTGGTCGCCCCATCTCACCGCGGCAATTCCTCCGGGCCTGCTAGGCCCTGCCACCGGGCGCCCCTCCCTCCCGCCGCTCCGGGGGAGGGAGAGAAGGTGAGGCACTCCATCGGGACTCCATTGGCCCTGCTAGGCCCTGCTGCCGGGCGCCCCTCCCTCCTGCCGCTCCAGGGGAGGGAGAGAAGGTGAGGCACTCCATCGGGCCTCCATCGGGCCTGCTAGCCCCCGCTGCCGGGCGCCCCTCCCTCCCGCCGCTCCGGGGGAGGGAGAGAAGGTGAGGCACTCCATCGGGCCTCCATGGGGCCTGCTATGCCCCGCCACCGGGTGCTCCTCCCTCCCGCCGCTCTGGGGGAGGGAGAGAAGGTGAGGCACTCCATCGGGCCTCCATCGGGCCTGCTAGGCCCCGCCACCGGGCGCTCCTCCCTCCAGCTGCTCCGGGGGAGGGAGAGAAGGTGAGGCACTCCATCGGGCCTCCATCGGGCCTGCTAGGCCCCGCCGCCGGGCGCCCCTCCCTCCCGCCGCTCCGGGGGAGGGAGAGAAGGTGAGGCACTCCATCGGGCCTGCTAGGCCCCGCCGCTGGGCGGCCCTCCCTCCCGCCACTCCGGGGGAGGGAGAGAAGGTGAGGCACTCCATCGGGCCTCCATCGGGCCTGCTAGCCCCCGCTGCCGGGCGCCCCTCCCTCCCGCCGCTCCGGGGGAGGGAGAGAAGGTGAGGCACTCCATTGGGTCTCCATCGGGCCTTCTAGGCCCCGCCGCCGGGCCCCCCTACCTCCCGCCGCTCCGGGGGAGGGAGAGAAGGTGAGGCACTCCATCGGGCCTTCTAGGCCCCGCCGCCGGGAGCCCCTCCCTCCCACCGCTCCGGGGGAGGGAGAGAAGGTGAGGAACTCCATCGGGCCTGCTAGGCCCCGCCACCGGGCGCCCCTCCTTCCCACCGCTCTGGGGGAGGGAGAGAAGGTGAGGCACTCTATCGGGCCTCCATCGGGCCTTCTAGGCCCCGCCGCCGGGCGCCCCTCCCTCCCGCCGCTCCGGGGGAGGGAGAGAAGGTGAGGCACTCCAACGGGCCTTGTAGGCCCCGCCGCCGCACCCCTCCCTCCCGCCGCTCTGGGGGAGGGAGAGAAGGTGAGGCACTCCATCGGGCCTCCATCGGGCCTGCTAGGCCCCGCCGCCGGGCACCCCTCCCTCCCACCGCTCCAGGGGAGGGAGAGAAGGTGAGGCACTCCATCGGGCCTGCTAGGCCCCGCCGCTGCGCGCCCCTCCCTCCCGCCGCTCCGGGGGAGGGAGAGAAGGCGAGGGCCCCCACGGCACTCCATCGGGCCTGCTAGGCCCCACCTTTGCGCCCCCCCCCCCCCCGCCGCCCCGGGGGAGGGGAGAGAAGGCGAGGGCCCTTCGCAGAATTTCATCGGGCCTGCCAGGCCCCACCGCGGTGGGAAGGAGAATGCTCTATCCGCCTGCCTGCGATCCATCACCCGGACGGTGTTCTTAGGCGGTACTGAGGAAGAAGAGTGAAGACCTGCCTGCAGTGTGGTGTCAACAATCCCCCCCCCCTGCATAGTGCCATCTTGATCTATCTCTTTTCCTATTTTGTTTTATTTTACTTATTTTCCCTCTTTTGAATTAGGTAGTGTTAGTTGTATGTTGGGTGTGTTGTTAAGTATAGTTGGCTGTATGTTGTATGTTGTTGTATGTGTTGGTTGCTGATTGTGACAGGAGGGTGAGAGAAGGAATAGAATTATATATAGGAGATTGTTGCATAGGACAGGGCTAGATAGGTGAACTGTTTGAAGTGAACCCAGGAGAGCACATGAGACTGATTGCTGATAGGAAAGCGAAGACATAGGAAGGTGTGGATGGTATATGGATGGGTATGTAGAGGAGAGAGTGTGAGGGTTAGTGTGGACTGATGAGGGACTTTGTGAAGAATGAGGAGAGTATGAGTTGTTGTGATATGTTTGGAGGAGTGATTGATTGTGACGTAAGTTGTTATTGAGTGTGGAGTAGTGTTAGGACAGACATAGGAATGGCCGAAACACAGTCTCGTGTGAAGAACGACCTATCTCACTTTTACGACCTCCTGAGGGAATCGTTTAATCTTTTGTTGCTTCAACTTAAGATTTTGAATGATAAAATTGACCATATCTTTAGAGGACTTGCCCATATTACCAGTCCTTCAGTGCAACTGGATCCCCCAAGGGCAGACAATCCCTTATGTGCAGATTTGGCCAAGGACTTGAGTTCAAATGGAGAGGAAGGCTCATTGGATCTTGGGTTGGAAGGAGGGAAGGATGATGAGATGACTGAGGGAAGGGGAGGGTTGTTGGGTAGGCATGGAAATGATGACATTGTGGAATGGCGGATGACATCCAGGGGACAACCGCTAATTTATCACCTGATCCTATTGTTCAGCCAACCGCAGTTTCCACCCAGGACCAACATCTCCTAATGACAGACAACTTTGCGATGGACATTGCTGACCTTATGATCAACAGAGGCAGATGGACTTCTAGGAGGGCGGTTTGTGATTCCTTGGCCCAAATCCTATCGAAAAAATCATGGGAAATAAGGTTAAAAGCCATAACTCGGCTGCGGAGGGACTATCAGTCACTTGACCACTCCACATGTCTTTTAATTACATCAGAAGACAATTTATGGCTTGGCGAACTATTGGCAATGCGATCCTGCCTAAAGAAATGGGGCATTACCATCAGAAGGGTAGCTGTGGACCCTCATATCCGTCCCCTAATTGACACAATGGTACCTTCTCGCCTTGTTCCATCAGGTCCCTGTGAAAAATCCATAGATAGCTCCCCGGTTAGGGCCCCCCCTCCTGGTTTGTACTAATTTGAAGCCCCATCTGTTCCAGTTGCTCCCATACAATCAGCCACACTCTCCCGCCCAAGAACACTTCCCCTGTTTAGTCCACTCATCTCCTTCGATGGCTCTCTTTCTAGTTTATCATCGGAAACATCTCTGCCCGAAGCCCAAGGGAGATTATACTCCAGCCTTACTTCTTCTGAAAGTTGACTAGCCACAGATCCCAACCATGTAGGGGGGGAGAGGGGACCAGAGGAGGCGGGCGCCATCCAGGTCGTGTGGGGGAGGAGATTTGCGGGTCACCAGGGAGAAGCGCAACAGAGTATTTGCGACCCTGGAGAAGGTAGGAACTGGTAGGCCCCATGGCAGTCCCCTCAGCCTTAAGGTCTTGCTGATTAACGCCAGATCCGTTAATGGTAAGACCGCTGTCATTCAGGACCTGATCCTGGATGGGGGGGGGGGCGGATCTGGCTTGCATTACTGAGACCTGGTTGGACGAGCTGGGGGGATTAAATCTCACTCAGCTGTGCCCACCGGGCTTCGGAGTGCATCAGCAGGCCAGGCTGGGGTGTCGGGGAGGGGGGGTCGCAATTGTCTATCGGCATTCCATCGCCGTGGTCAGATGCTCTGTTCCGCAAGCATCTGGGTTTGAGTGTGTCCACCTGAGGGTGGGGAACCGTGATAGCGTGGGGTTTCTGCTGGTGTACCGCCCACCTCGCGACCCAGTAGTTTCCCTGACTGAGCTAGCAGAGGTGGTCTCCAATTCAGCCTTGGTCTCCCAGCGCCTGATTGTGCTGGGAGACTTTAACATTCATGCTGAGACCCCCTTGATTGGTGCAGCTCAGGATTTCATGGCCGCCATGACATGGGCTATCACAAATTATATCTGGCCCTACCCATCAGGCTGGACACACACTCGACCTGGTTTTTGTGGCAGACAGCGGAATGATCAGAGTGGAAGAACAAAACATCCTTCCT